TTGACCTTTACGCGGTCGGCAGCCCATGTCAAAGTTGGAGTCTTGCCGGTAGTAAGTCTGGGGCTGCAGATTCCAGAGGCGGTCTCATGGCTCTGATCCCTTTTCAAATTGAAAAGCACAAGCCTCGCAGCTTTATCTCCGAGAATGTAAAGGGCCTCCCGTCACTCTTTCCCAAGGAATTCAACTGGCTGATCCAAGCTTTGAGAGACATTCAGCTTCCCAATGGTGAGCAATGCCTCTTATCTTGCTTCAGAATGTTTTGTGAACGCATCTTCTTTTTTAATTGTTTCAACCGCATAGTGGCTCGCAGAAGCTCTGCCATGGTGTGCTGCAGGCTACAATGTTTATTACAAGCTGCTGGACACACAGCACTTCGGAATTCCGCAGCACCGCGAACGGGTCTATATCATCGGTATTCGCCGAGACGTGCAAGTGAAGCACTTTGAGTGGCCAGTGCCTTTCAAGGAGCGGCTCACGCTCAAGCAGCTCCTTGGCAATCCTGCCATGGAATGGAAGTGCAACTTGCGGGAGAAGACACACGATGTCGACGGCTCAGCTCTATCCAGCACAGCCCGCAAGAACTTGATCCAGTTTCAAGACTTTTTGGACAAGAATCCGGCCAAACAAGACTCTGACTTCATTGTCGACACAGGCGGTTCTTCAGCAACTTGGATGGAGGACAAATGCCCCTGCCTCACTGCCACCAGATGCAAAGGAAAGCATTGCTACTGGTGGCATCAAGGCCAGAGGTTCCTCACCCCGACAGATTTTTTTTTGCTTCAAGGCGTGTGGCCTGGGGCTTACAAGCCTGGAGATGTTGAAGAACTTCAACGTTTTCCACAAAGGGTATTAGGACATATGATTGGCAACGCCATGTCTGTTTGTGTAGTGCGACGCTTAGTGCGATGCATTTTCCAAGCACGTGGCATTCTTTGAGGAATAGGCGGCATGTTTCCAGTTTGACCTGTTGAAAATCATTTGAGTCAGCTGCGCTAGCCGTGGTTACCACATTGCTTGCACATTCAGTGCTGAACATTGCCGCAATGCAATTCAACCTCGGTTTTGCTTTGTCCATCACATCGACCCATTCGACCCAGGTTTTTTGGCTCACAAAACTAGTCTAACTTGCAACATGGCAGCAGCAGGTGAGAAGAGATTGCCCCAAGGTGTCCTCAACAGAGCTGACTTGCAGTTGGGGGTCCAAGCCTTCTTGCGGTGGGATCCAGCACTCAAGGAGAAGAGCGCGTTCGAGCTGGAAAATGCTCGTGAGGCTTTGATTTTTTGCCAGCCTTTCTTCAAGGAAGACCGCACCAGGTCATGTGCGCTTGCCTGTGCCATCATGTTTTTGACCATCCTTCAGATGACGCTGGACCGCCCTGACACAGAGCCCACAGACTGTACATGGACCGCTCACCTTTACACCAGGTCTGGACAAATCCAGCCTATGCAAGAGAAGATCGAGAAATGTCCAGCTTTGACATCGCGCGAGTTGCTTGCAGGAAAGGTTGGTGAGTTGGATAGCGCTGCTTCTTTTCTTTTGGGCGCCATCAACGCCATGCCTCATGACCTGCTGCCCCAGGCGCCGCATTTCGAAGGCTGTTTCGCTTGCCTGGACGACTTGTTGGTGCATATGAAGTTTCGACTTCACCAAAGTTCTTCTGCTATTTAGGTTCGAGACCGAGGCATGTGAGCTGAACAAATGTCCTTTGGTGCTGCTCGCTTTCGCATAAACACAGTGGCCCCGAGAACGACCCACAAACTTTCAAGGAGGACATCGCCCTTAAGATCGAAACCTCCTGTAACGCCAAAGTTATTGATTGATCATAGCTCGACAGACATTATAAGGAAGGCCTTGCAAGGTCTCCTGCGCACAAGCTGTTTTCAAGGAGGTGTTGCCTCCTTTGTTAAAATTTATGGGAGGCGCCGCTGTAAAGTTTGTGGAGGGCGCCACCGCGCAGAGCGGGGAGGGGCTCTGTGCCACAACAAAAACACAAGAATCACCTACTATACACATCGGATCTTTGCACAGTGACGCTTAGCATCAGTCATATTTGTTTTTTAATTATAACTGATCGATTTGTAAACATCCGGAACACCATTCTTCAGTTTTAAATCCACATTACCACCCACTAAATAAAAGCAACGCCAATCACTTCATCACAGAAGCACCATCAATCAGCACAAAGAACCTTACTAAATCCACCCCAGTATATCTACTGGGGATAATGGGATATATACTGTAACTAACCAATAGTCAGGTCAATGTGATTTGGAGATTGTAACTACCCCGGGCATCAAACATGTGGATTGACGAATAAGAAGGGTGGCATACTGAGATATCATAGTGATCAGCTAGACGAATTTGATCATGCTCTCACTTCGTGACATCACTGGCATGATGGTTGGGATTCGGCGAAATCATCCCCAAATGGCCGTGTGATAACAGCTGTTTTCCAGTTGATGTTTTTTTTGGTAATTCATGCAGAATATATATAAATGGGATAAAATTGGGATATACTGTAAATAACCAACAATCAGGTCATTCAACGTAGCCATGGAAAATTGCCTACTTTCTTTGATTTTCCCTCACAATGAGATGAGGAAAAATATCCCACTAAATGGAGGTAATCAAGCCTGGTAATGTGGAAATTACTTGAATTTACCATGTAAACGAAGGTTCAAAGATGTTCATGGCTGGGAAAAATCAAGTAATGTGGGATTGTTTGAGTCATGTTTGATTACCTAAGTTAATAGTGGGGTCTGTATATATAATGGGGATGTAATCATCAACCATGGGGACTCTAAAGGGGGGCTAGATAAGCAACAATTAATGATCAGAATTTGAGTTCAATGGGGATTTGAAAGGGATTATGATATTAAGCATCCAATAATAGTCATTGTGCTGGAAATACAATACGTAATCAATTGGAGCCAATGGTGGTGTCCGAGTTTTTATTGGCTTAAGTCTGTTGAACCAAGTGGCTTGCAGAATTATATCAAAAGTGTCTTTTTGGTAGATATGAGTATTGCGCTAGTCAATGGGGATTAAAAGCCAACCTGGGAACATCAATACCGTAGTGAAATCAATCCTAATGAAACGGTGCACCATTGAAACGTCTATCGTTAGGCACCCAGAAACACAATTGATGGTGTCAACCCAATGAATCAGTCACATCTCATTTGATGAGAAAATATGATAAATTAACTACGGTAAGGTAGCTACATCGAAATATGTGATTTTTTTTAATACGAAATTGCATTTTATACATACTAATCGATTAGAAGCTGGGGTATACCTCAATACATCCCAGTTAGCAGTTATATCCAGTGTAAAGAAGGAATTGACCCTAACGGCTTCGTTGCTTCTGGCAACAGCTGAGAAATCGAATAATAGATCCATCGAAATCCCCCATAATTCCTTTGCTCTTGTTCCACAAGTCACTTACAAGTCCATCAATTTCTGGGTAAAAGTTAAATCTCTAAATCTTCATAGATTATATATACATCATATGGCTGGTTTTTTTTCGCATCTTTTCCGCAAGTATCTCCTTACCTGGGGCAGCAACCAGGACAAGTGGCAAATCTGACTCAACCCAGCCCGCACCAGCGTGGCATGAAGCTCCGGCACACGCCTGCAAAGCTGGTGTTCCTTTGGTGTCCACGACATTTCACCTGCTTTTCTAATGGGTATGATCAAGCCCAGAGTCCTAGGTTGCACACGGTTGCACATGGTTGCACATGGTGGTACTTTTCGAGCGATCAAGCATAATTACTCTCAAGTCCAAGCCTCTTCTTCAAAGGGTAAGTCTTGTTGAGGATGAATCCTGCGGAACCCAAATCTCGCCACACATGCTAGCCCATCACGCCTAGGACACAAATTTGCATTCCCACATATTCGACTTCACCGTGGAAAACCCCATTTTTGGTCAATGTGTGGGAACACCATGCCAAGCCCCTCGGATTTGTCCGACATCATTTTGGTCTCAGCTTCTTAAGGCCAAACATGTCCAATCACAAGCCAATTCAGACCAGTATATAAGCTGTCATGAGTCTTTCACTGGTGCGGTGGCTCACATCACCATCCAAAAGGACACCTGGGCATTGGGTGATGAAAACACAAAACACACCCACCTGTACCCTGGCCCAACATGAAACGGATTCAATAAATAGAGTTGGGATATGTTAGGATATGTTATGGTGTTTATCTACCAACTTGTGCTACGTTCGCACTGCACCTGCGACACATCCACTTTCAGATCCGTCCTGTATCTCCTGCTTCTACCATAAGCAGCAGTCTTCGACAGGAGGCTGGGAACCGCCATCAATCTACAGTGGACAACATGATGCGCAAGTGACCTGCAAGTGGATTCACGGATTCTCTGAAAAGGCTTCGTGCGATACTCTGGATATTGCAAGTTATCACTGCAATTAGGGGGTTTCTAATTTTTTTTTGGCTTTGAACAGTTTTCTGCCCCTTTTTCAGAATCATTCAATGATCTTAGCCCATGATCACCCAGTGCTTGAACAGCTGCAGGCTAAAAAAACATGGAGATGCAGGCCTGCCGTTTGGGCCTCTCTGCTGGGGCAAAATATGTCAGCTATATACTCCCGTCCCCTATCATATTAGCAGGGAGGGTTTTATCATGTTTTATCTCTGATATAGAAATATATTGTATGATGTTGTATGTAAACATCCTGAAACGGGTGAGGGAGAGAGATCTATATACCAATATTTTCAACACACCCAGGACTCGGCCACGTAGATGAATAGATCCGGTACGGCGTACGCCTCGTTCCCTGGGTGACCAAAAGTGGACCAGCTTTTTGATTCGCACCCAGCATCGGCGAGCGTCACGCATGTTTATATTGATACCAAAGGCAAAACACCCAAGTTCCCAAAGATGGGAAAACATGAGCGAAATGGTGTCTCTGTCGGTTTGTCGTAGTACACTCTTGCGATCCAACCCGAGAATGGAATCCACATTTCAATCAAAACACCTTTCAAGATTATTTTCCCATCAACATGTCAGATTGCCAGCCATAAGGTCAGCAGCGGTAGCTATCCCCAATCCTTTGAAAGCCGCAGATTGAATCCGGCCATCTCTTCCATTCTTCAGCCGGTGACACGTTCTCAGGTTGCTTCAAAAATGTCGACAGCCTCATGAGGAAAATGCTGGTGAAAACCCTGGAGACAGAAAATTGTGACACCTAAAGAGGTTTCTGTAAAAGAGACCTGTAGCGGCTACCGCATAAATATTGCATTCATTGATCCACATAATATATCTATATATACCATCTGGTTATTTAACATGGCTATGGAAAATCACCATTTTTGATAGGTAAACCATCTATAAATGGGCCATTTTCCATGGCTATGTTAAATAACCAGAGGGTATCTCACTCAGATCATCCATGTATGGGACTCCTGGGACTTTGAACAAGTTTTGAACAGAGCCTGGACCAAGAGAAAAATGAGTGTACCAAAGAAATCCCCATGGCCACGGGTACGTGGTGCCGAAAGATTCAATCCCAACCATTGTCATTTAAGCTGCTATTGTACATGTCAATGATATCTGCAATACTTCACCAACCAAAGATCACCCAAGGAGTCCATCGACAGGAGCCCCCAGCAGCAAGCAGCCTCCATGTGCATGCCACAAAGTTCCAGAAACTCGCCTCATGAGTCCGGACAAGGGGCCAAAATGGAGTAACAAACTATGTGGTGGATGACAACCTATCAAACTCCTAATTTCACTAGATTTGATGATAAAAATTATGGTTTCCCGTACATGTTCCCTTTATAACCGTTAACCAATACAGCAATCCATTAAAACTAGGTTCCCTTCTTATTCATATGCCGAAACTATTGTTGGACCACATCGACCAACATTGATCAACTGCCCATGTGTTTTGGGGTGTCTCAGGCGAAGCTTATTTTCCCTAAATCAGCATCACCATTTCAGGGGGCATCTATGATTTTTTAAAAACCGCCCAAAACCCTGCAACATCTTGAAACAGAAAAAACTTAGCACCTGCCCAAGTAAACATTTGCTGACATACACATCTTTAATCATCACATTAGTATTCGGTTTAACCGTACGAACCACTATCATATAACTATAAACCATCAATAACGATGATGATTAAAATGGATTCACATGGATTAACCATGGATTAACCATGAGTTAACATCAATTAAGCATGGATCAACCTACGATTCACCACCTTTTTTCCCCTCCCCAGCGTCATTCCACGACGGTTCCACCGAGGCGCTGGGCACTGCCTCCAAGACGTGTCCTCCCGCCTGGTCCACCGCCGTTTGCAGCAGCGCGGCCGAGAGGACGCGCGGAGAGGCGAACTTCAGACAGTTGCCGTTGCCTCGGGGCCCACGCAAAGGGTAGCATATTGCGGATTTGTAGACTCATAAGTCATACGTTATTAAATCTCACTCTATATATATATAATAAGTATTTATATCATATTAAAAAAATGTGTGTATATGTATGTATGCAATGTAATGTAATGTAATGTAATGCAATGTAATGTAATGTAATGTATGTATGTATATACCCACCCCCTAAGGGGGGGGACCCCGTGCAACTGAAATATTTCAAGCGGCGCCTTCCCCCTTCCGATTTTCCACGCATTGTGCACATCAGCTATCGGGGTCTTGCTGGATCTCGGACCTCCTTGGATGCAGCAGGATGCAGCTGTAAATTTGGGGATAAACAGAAAAACCATCCCTGTAGGGGGTCCGTCAACTACCCATGTTTGTAGATATAAATGGGGGTGCCTGACCATAGTTGATTTGTCCAGGTTCTCTACAAACATGTCCTTTAGTTGCCACCATGCTCAAAAACAAACAAATCTAATTCATTCTAATTCTCTACAAAAGTTGCTTTTGTTCTCGTGCGCTCTCCGTTCTCTACGAAGAAGGGGTGCCCACTACACAAAGATCGGTCTTGACCCCATTTTTGTACAAAATATGCTTCCCAATGTTAAACGTAAGAGCCCTAAGCTTATGATGTTTGTAGTGCAAATCGAACGGGGATGAAAAACCTAGCTCAAAACAAGGGATCCCTGCTCAAACTCAAGTGTTGTTCGTGGCCTGCGCCTCGGCTTCGCGAACTTGCTGGATCTTGATATCGTGCAACTCCTGGGAACCAGCAAAGGCAAAAAAAAACATACATGGGGGTTCGTATTCACCCTGATGGGTTGTGACAGGTTTTCTATGTTTTTTTGTAGGCACAATTTTGCAAACACAATCGAACACTTTTGGATGGCTATCAAACATGTAGTCAGCACCGAAAGAACTCAAATGATGATACTTGAATATATTTGAGCAAAACTATGCAAAGAATGGGAATGGAAACCCGTGAGCCCTGCAGCGAGCAATGGATCCTGCATGATCCTGCCGAATCCTGCCCTGCTGCGGTTAGGTATGTGGTATGCTTAGATTGGACCACAACTTTGTGCGTTATCATGTGTTATCATACTGCCAGCGAGCAAAATTATGCCCTGCTGGCGACAAAGGAGCGCTGAAACATACCTCTGTCACCCCCTATCATAACAGATTATAATGCAATTTGGCGCTGGGAATGAAATATATGGGTTTGAGACGCGATGATATTAAACTCTGCGTTGGAAACTGTCATCTACACATTGCCGATGCTGTTTCACATGTTTCTCCAAAAACGGTCGCTACAAAAAGCATGCTTCGAATTTCTGGCCAAAAATGACAACTGCTTGAACTTTTTACAGTTCGCATGTTGGAAATCTGCTTTCGCGCACTTTCGCAACAAGTGTAACAAGTGCACATTCTCTACAAATTGGGGGGCCCCCAGGCCCCCAGTCCCAATGTTCCTTACAAAATACCACCTACAAACGTTCTGATACGATTTGCAAGGGAAGTTGGTTCCTGCATACACCACCTCCAAAGTCACTTCTAGGCATGACTCTCGCCACTCTTGGCTATCGCCAGACTGGATCTGCCAGCCTGGCGCTGAAATCAGTGCGGTTGTTCTCAGATATTTCTCTAGCAATCTCACCCGTCGATATGGGGCTGACTTGAAGCACCACACATCACACATCATCACCCACTTGCCTCTGCGAGGTGGCTTCTCTTCCCTGCTCTCGCTTTTCCAAAGGGTTTGGCCTGACCGGATCTGTCAAGCAGGACTTGAATAGCATTCAACCACCGCGAGCAGCGCTAGGCCGCTAGGCGAAGAACAAGCAAGTGGCCCACGGGGATACGGGATGAGCTGTTGTTTTGATACGCGTATATCATGTTTGCATGTACTATCATATACTGGAATAATCTGGAATACAACTCGCACAGGCTATCCGACATTATTGGTCATCCCACCATGTTCCACCTCGCGGCATCAACGACAACACGGAAGACTTCAAGAAACCAACGAGTTGGTAAAGCATGGTGAAGCATGGTAAAGAGATGTAAAGCATTGAAAGGCGGAATCAGTATGCGGAAACCTTCTTCGAACATCTTAAATCGGATGAGAACTCGAGTCCTGAATTCGCCAGGCCTCCTTGTTCTTCCAGGACAGGGTCTCACCTCTAGGCCCAGCCCACACCTGGCCAAAGGACCAGCACTCAAATTCAGAAGATCCACGGACGTCATCACGACTAGCAAAAAGATGCAAAAAGTAAAAGGATGTAAAAGGCGCCACTCTGCCATCTTACTGGCCCAAATTTGAACCTACCTGCTTTCCCCTTAAGCGCAAAATAATACAAAATAGCACAAGTATTCCATTGTCTTCCATGTCGCACTGTGGCTTTTGAACATGTAGGAAAAAAGGTGAAAAAAATCTATGAATGCCAGGTGAGGTGAAAAATGTCCCATCTCTTTCAAGTTCTATCTCGCATTTCTTCTGGCTTTCATTCTGGCATTCTACCTGGCATCTGGCATCATTCTGACATTCTTTACGGTATATTGTCAAATATTTTCAAATATAGTCCAACATCTTCCACCTTTATTTCTTGCATCCAAACGTTTCACCTAGTTGGAATCTAGCCTTTCGCTGGTTGTTTTGGTGTTTGGCAGGTTTGCCGGTTTTGTTTGGTTGGGATGTTGGCTGATGTTGGTGGCTGTCGTGTTGTTTGATTTCCTTTTGCATGCATTTGCTGTGGTTTGCGTTGTTTTGCTTTTGGCGTGGCTCCATGTTCTAACCAGTCCTGCTTTGCCCAATGCTGACCGATGTTTAACATTGTTTAAAGTTTAAAGCAATTTAGCGCTATACCGACAGCACAACGCGGAAAAACAACAACAACAACAACAACAACCAACAACAACAACAACAACAACCAACAACCAACAACCAACAACAAACAACAAACACAACAAACACAACAAACACAACAACAACAACAACAACAACAACAACAACAACCACAACAACAACCAACAACCAACAACCAACAACCAACAACCAACAACAAACAACAAACAACAAACAACCAACAACCAACAACCAACAACCAACAACCAACAACCAACAACCAACAACCAACAACAAACAACAAACAACAAACAACAAACAACAAACAACAAACAACAAACAACAAACAACAAACAACAAAGAACAAACAACAACAACAACAACAACAACAACAACGTCCCAATGCCTGAGAAACCACATGCTCTGGGTTCTGGACCCAAGGCATGCGCACATCCGAGGTCACTGCTCGCCTCACCATCCTTCTTGTAGCCCTCCGCCAGGTGGAGGTAGTCGAAGCAGTTCTCCTCCCACTCCTGTGGAACCAGAGAACATGTGGAAATTCAAGCCACAGAAAGATCCGGTGAATGAGCACAGCATAGCGCAGCTCAATTCTCTCGATGTCAGATACACACATCACATTTCGTCATATGTCGTAATTATTATTTTGTCATGCTTCATGTCATTTCATGACATTGTGTATCACAATGCCATGCAATATCACACATATAGCTGGGGGTATCCGTTTGCTATGGAAGAGATCGAAGAGAGCATCTGGTTACAAGATGTTACAATCTAGGACAATATAGGACGATCAAAGGAAGGCACAGTCCTTGCACGTCGGAAATCAAATCAAACCATTTCATGTCATTGACACTGGCACCATTGGCTGCACTTCGCCACATTGCCACAGGATGCAACAACAAACCCCTGCTAGCGAGCATGAATGCCCTGCTAGCGTCGCAAAGAAACGCTTCCTGGATTAAGCACTGTCACCATTGGCTGCAATTCGCCACATTGCCATACATTGCCACAGCATGCAACAACAAACCATAACAAGCCCCCTGCCAGCGAGCATGAATGCCCTGCTAGCGTCGCAACAAAAAACTCTTCATGGGAATGTATGGGCCCTCGATTAATTACCCTGGGTATTTGATGGTATTTATATGTATTTGTATATTTATGTAATTTTATGTATATTTGTATGTGTTTATATGAATTTATTCTGTATGATCCTGTTGGTGATGCCGTTTGATATCGTTTGATACTTGTGGACGACATCAGCGATCTTCAGCGAACAAGTAATTACGCCGTTCAAAGCGGATCAAAACGGTCCTCAGGACGGACACAATCCTCCGGCCAGAGAATGAACTTTGCCAGAGATGGCATGGCTCTCCAACTGGGCACTTGTTTTTCGTGTGGCGCTGATATGTGCTGAACCAACGTTTTATATCGTTTTATCATGTTTCATCATATCTGGATATATCTGGATCATCTGGGGTTAAACTGGTCGGTTGCATTTTCACATATGTTCAACGAACCCATCTCTTCGTAGATTTGTTCAAGGTGAGCTTCACTGTGCTTCACGTCAAGACAGACCAGGTCTTGAGCTATGAGCGGCAGCAGCCTACAGCAGCTATCTGACTTCGGACAGAGCTGGGAAGATTATGGAAGATTTAATCTTCGCACCGGCCATCAACTGAATTTAATTGAGACCCCCTTCCTCGCCATATTCCGACATATTCCGACACTGCCTTGGAAAATAAAACTATATAAAAATGATTGTATATAATTGTATAATCCATCTTGTCACTTGTAGCTGAAAAAACGGCATGAATGCGACTTTCAATTCCAAGTTTCAGCTTCTCAGCTCATCCCCAGCCAAGGCTCCAAGTTTCACACACCGTTTTTCACCCTCCTGGGGTCCTCCCCTCAGATGGGCGCCTGTGGTGCTGCTTCACCCAGAAGACAGACCTGGAAGCCTTCGCAGAGATCGCGGATCATGACCTTCGCAGGGATCGCTCAACCGCAACCGCTGGATGTCTCCGGCTGGATTTTTGCATATTTGTAGTGGCAACGTGGCAGTCGACTGTAAGTTGCTATGGCGACATGGGGAGCTGGGTGGGTCAAGCCACTATTGGTACCCCAAAAATGGTGGCTGTTTCCCATTCAAAATGATCAACAATTATGGACATTTGATGAATTTGTGGTACCCCATTCAGGAACCATGGCCATAAAACCCCAAACTAACCATCAGGTTAACTAAGCCAACATATAGAGGTATGTTTCTTCATGTTGAAATACCCCCAGTTATACGTCCCACCTGCACATCCAATTGCTGCGTGCTTTTTTGAGCATGGCTGGAAAAGTTCCCCCAGCTATCGGATATGCAGCACAGATCAGCATAGTAATAGCATGTAATAGCATACAATAGCTGATGCGTTGCTATAAACTGGTGGTTTTGGGGGGATCCCCATGGATCCCCCATTTCAACGTAACATCCATAATGGGATCCAAACCTATGCTGACCAAATGATCTCAACTATCTCAACTCGGGTATGGTGGATTGGGCATAGTATTGAGTCGTTGGAGTCTGCGAACGGATATTCAGAAAGGCCTACAGGGACGAGTCCATCAAAAAGATGTAAGAAGATGGCTTCCCTCCGCCCTCGCAATCGAAGAGATCCTGATTGAACTAAATAGAAATCGAATTGAGTATGGGTCAAAAATGGGGTACCAAGCAATCCACAAAAATGGTAGCCAATCCATTTTGGGGGGGGGATGCTTTTTGACCCATACCTAATTGGGACCACAGAATGCATTTCATGCAATGCAGATCCTATATATCATAAGCAGATCTCTGAATCATGAACCATGCAAAGATGGATGGAATCGAGAAGTGCCCAGGGTATTCTGGCTCTATAGACCTCAACACATCAAACACTTCAAGAACCCCCAAACAAATCATGAAGTTCTCCCAAAAATCACCTCTTTAAAACGGCATACCAAGTCCTTCCCAACGGCGTGTGAAAAAAAGGCGATCCCATAGCTCCAGCCTGCTGAGGGGTCAATCTCTGCATCCTGCCAAAGGATTGGATCAACAGTCTGCACTGCACTGTAAAATTGCCAAACATTTTCTGGACGGTTTCAACCCATCTGAAAAATATCAGTCAAATATAGTCAGATTGGACCATCATTTTTCAACACATGGGAACAGAAAAAATGTTTCAAGCCACCAACCAGTCTTGGCAACTGGAACATGGTTTGAACATGTTCCCCGCAAACCAGACGTTCGCCCACCCGCAAAACGTTGGAATATTCAAGAAACAACCACCGCTACTTAGGGAAGACTACCGCTACTTACTTTCATTAAAGAAGAGTCTTGACAAGTTACAGGAAAGTTTTAAAGTCCCCCACCCCCGCAAAACAATATATTCAATTGGAATATTCAACAAACAACCACTGCCACTTAGGGAAGACTACCGCTATTTACTTTCATTACAGAAAATTCTTGACAAGGTACAAGAAAGCTAAAAATCCCCCACCCCCGCAAAACAATATGTTCAATTGGAATATTCAACAAACAACCACTGCTACTTAGGGAAGACTACCGTTACTTATCATCACTTAGAATACAGAAAGTCAGCGGCGGGTAAACGTCCGGTTTGCAGCGAACATGTTTTGGACAGAGTAAAACTACATCAACAAAGTCTGGGATCGAACTCGGAGCCCGGTCATCACAAACCTTTCCATGTTTCCCCATCACGGTGCATGGGGTCCAGCTTTTGAAGATTAATATCAGAGTTTCAAAACCTTTGGCTAGATGTCTATGACCGTCGGTCACCAATGGGCAATGGTTCAGAGCTGAAAATGGGAAACTTAGGAGTTTGAGAGGTAAATCAGGAATCTTAGGGCGATGTTACCTTTGAATGGGGTCAAACGTCTCCTGGAGACACAGGAAAAAAACGTGGATACTGTTGAGCCAGTGAATGTTGTTTGCATCACTGGTGACTCCACATTCTTTCACTGGAACAATAAAGGTCAATCACAAAGAAAGAGTCTCGAACCGCTGAAGTAACCAGTCCTATGCCACTTTTTCTCTTGTCTCTCTCATCAAACATCTGGATTTCATGGGAAATTGGAATCACAAGAGTCACAGGAGAGCGTCGTCTTTGGATTTTCATTGGATTCCATTGGAATTTATCAAAGTTCACTCAACCCCCACTCACCCATCAACAGCCACAGCCTGTAAAAGCGCTGCGGTCCTGAGTCCGAAATGGCCAGGAACTCAGAGAATGAACTGCTGATTTCACGACGCTTCCATCATATATTGGTCACCACCAGTGAGAACATCATCCCAACTGGCTGGGTAAAAATCAACATCTGTTTCAAGTCACCAAGCACTTGAAGCCAGGCCCCCAGGCCGGGAAACTTCATTTGCCGGAAGGAGTGCCAGCTTATGGCCAGCCTAGGTCACGATTCCCCACTGGACCCCGCTGCCCCGTCTCCAATCCGAAAGGGAGTCACTTGGTAATGAAAAAAAAACGACTCGGAAAACGTTTGCGTTTGGGAGGTTTGAAGTGCTGAGACCTTGAACATTCCAAGAAATTCTGGTGGTTCAATCCCAAACATATGAGTTCAAGGGGATCATCATGCCCTTTTTAGATGGGAAACTTCAACCCAGATGTCGAAGCACCAGGCTTCGAAATGCCCTTCTGGGCTGGTCCCTCTCCCAAGCTTGTGAACTGGGCCATCCCACAACAGCCGTTGCCAAAGAGAACAGCTTCAGCATGCGGGCGAAGGGGCGAAGAGTTTTTCATCACCAGCCCAGAAAAAAATACACAAGATCAAAGATCCGTCTAGTGGCTGGAGTTGAAAAAAATGTTCAAATAGGGTCAAACTTATATTATCAATGGCCATGAAAGGTGATGCATTTGTCTATGTGGCAATGATCAACATGAAGAAAAACTGGCAAACGGCCATATGGCCCCTCTGTGTGGGACCTCGGGGAGCCATTCAGCAGCAGGGATCGTCTCTGTGAGCTCCATTCAGTGACTTGGTGATTTGACCAATGAGTTTGCAATGGTTAGTTCTATTTAGTAAATATTTAGTAATGATTTATGATGATTTATGTATGTATGCATGCATGCATGCATGCATGTATGTATGGATGTATGTATGCATGCATGCATGAATGGATGTATGAATGTATGCATGCATGGAACTACGCGCTGAGATTGAAAGCCTTCCAAAACTGAAAGGGGGGGGTTGGAACTGAAATAAGTTCAAGAAATGTTTTGGGGTACCCCCCCTGAATTTTCAAGAGATAGGGGGTGGGTATGTATGTATGTATGTCTGTCTGTATGTATGTATGTATGAATGTATGTATGTATGCATGCATGCATGCATGGATGGATGGATGTTTGTGTGTGTATGTATGGTATGGTATGGTATGGCATTGCATTGCATTGTATTATATTGTATTTATTGTATTTATTGCATTGTATTGCATTGTGTCGTATTGTACTGTATTGTACTGTATTGTACTGTACTGTATTGTACTGTATTGTACTGTATTGTACTGTATTGTACTGTATTGTACTGTATGTATGTCTGTCTGTATGTATGTGTGTGTGTATGTATGTATGTATGGTATGGTATGGTATGGTATGGTATTGTATGATATGGTATGGTATGGTATTGCATTGCATTGCATTGCACTGCACTGCTTTGCATTGTATTGATTGTATTGTATTGTATTGTATCGTATCGTATCGTATCGTATCGTATCATATGTATGTATGTATGTGTGTGTATATGTGTATATGTGTATGTGTGTGTGTGCATGTGTATATGTATGTAAATATATATATATATATATATATATATTAAATTGCAAATAATAAAATAGGTAAACAGGGTAAACATTAGACAAACAATCAGGATCACCGCCTTTTATCACTGGTAAGGGAGTAAGGGATGGACCCTAAGTCATGGGTTGATTTCTTTGAAGTTGAGAGGAAGCCCAGGAACTGGTACATTGAGCTATTCTGGGACCAGGGCACTTCCTACCTACCCATCACTGGTAGGGACTTGCCAACATTTCCAGGGAATGGAGTCTTGCATGGATCTGCACAGAAATCTTCCTATGATCTTCATTCACCCACCAGGACCCTCCACCTGGGGCTGTTTGGTTTGTGTGGTACTTGGTGAGAAATGCAGTTCTAGTTCTGACTAACTTCAAAGTAGTGACGCTTCCTCTTTGAAACTACCCCGCAGAAGTTCACGCGTCTGAAATCGCTACTTAGGGTGTAGCGATATAGCGGTTTAACGAGTCAATCCCAAAACATAGGACCTGATATATTGATATATATTGGCCATCTCAGTCATCTCTCATGTATGATCCGCCAATATATGTATGATATCTCATGTATGATCCTATCCATATTCATAGCTCCTATCCATCTCTCAACAATGGTGTTTTTATGGATAGGATGTAGCGAAACCGCCAGAAACCGTCCTATAAACAAATGCAGCGAGCTCCAGGCGACGCTTCACGGCTTCCAGGACCAGCTCGGGATCTGCACGCAGCTCCTTGGGATCAGCGATAAACCATGGGATAAACCGTAGCCTCTGATGATTAAAACCTGCAAAATGCCTCTGAATGAAGGATTGAAAATAAAGAAAACCATCCGAAGTGAGGATTTTCCAGCAAGCCACGGTTGATCGAGGGTACATTTGTCATTTCGTGGAGTTAAAAGATCCACTGAACTGATATATATATATATATATGTTTAAGTGAAGAATGTCAGTTTTCTTCCAATAAACAATATTGAACATCCTTGACTCTCGGCTTTGGTTCCATGGATTTTGAGGACACCCCCCATTTTCTAGATTGTCAAAACGCTAGAAAAGGGTTATCCCGTGTTTTTTGGCTTGGGACCGACCCGGTGCTTGCATCATGTGTCTCTTTTGGCCACACTTGTCATGAATTTCTAGCTAAGCATTGAAAAGGATCCCCCCAAAGAGTATGGTTTGCATTCCAACTGACAACATCTATGTTACATAGAAAGGCCGTTGTATTCAAGCATGGTTTCAACCCCTCTGAAAAATATTAGTAGTCAATTGGGATCATTATTTATATGGAAAAAAAAGGTTCCAAACCACCAACCACATGTGGTTGGGAAACTCTTGGTAGCGCCTTAGGCTCCTGGATTTTTTCAAAGTTGGATCCCCACTGTGCCCCAGGCTCCTCGGAGGCATATTGCAAGTTGGCGGCATCTTCTTGGAGGGCGACACAAACCAAGTCCCTATAGCGGACAGGGTGAGCTATCCAAAAAGATATGGTAAACCCTTAAGGTGAAACCCGGAAATGATCTACAAACGGCGCTTAAAATGGTGCGTGTTCCTATGCGCTGGATTATGTCAACTTATCGGTTTTAGCGATAAAATCACAAGTTTTTGCAATTAAATCGTCATTTTCAGCCATTAAATCAGCATTTTTTGCTGTTGATTCAACAATGTTAGCCATTAAACCAGATTATTTCTAGTAGGTAAATCTACATTACATCATCATTTTTAATAGGTACATCTTCCTTAAATCATCCAGTCTGAGTCATGAAATCGCCATCTTTAGTGGCTAAATCCATGGGAAAATACCTTCCCACCGTCCCTATCGGGCGCCTCCGTCCCTTCAGCGTCTCGTCGGCCCAGCGCAAGGCCGCGCCGCGGCTGCGCTGCAGCGCCAGCAGCACCAGCTCCGCGTCGCGGCGCAGCGCGACCGAGGCGAACTCGAGGGCCTAAATCAACGATCTGTTTGGCTATATAAATATAATATATATATATATATATCATTATATATATTAATATGTAGATTTTGTAGATATATAGCTATCAATATGGAGCTAGACATCTGGCTATCTATGATTGTATATATATATACACGTGATAATACATATCTATTTTTGTTTTGAGAAGGATGTATATTATGATGGATGCCTAGCTATCTAGCTGGCTATCAAGCTATCTAGCTATCTAGTAAATATATATATATATATAAATAGGATGTACATCGGCTGTCTATATCTATCTGAAATTTATACTATATATCCATGTATGGGTGTATGTTGTTTTGGATAAGAATGTACATCAATAGTCTCTATATGATATATCCATTTGTGCACACACACACATATATGTATATATATATATATGTAGAGAGAGATAGATATGTGATATGCGTGCGTGTAATTTAGGATGGATGTAACTATGTCTAGATATTAAAGATGTACCTGTATTTACTTACACATATACATTTTCTTTATATATATATATATGCACATGGTTATACATGTATGTGGGTGCCTAGAATATGTCTATATGTAAAAAAAACGTATATATATATGTGTGTGTATATATATATATATAGCATCTCTTTAGATACCTATTTCAAAATACACCCCTGGGTCCAAAAGAGCGTCTTTTGATTGAAAGGCTGTATTTTGCAAAAGACCGTATTTTGGATATTGATATTGGTGACAAAGACACACTGGGTCATGAAACCGCCGATATGTAGATGTTGGCAAACTCGAAAGGATCAAACCATGAAATAGCCATTCAATCAAGTCTTTGATGAAAATGTTGTAAAATAAAAAATGCCAAATTATAATTACCGCAAAACGGGGTTGTGAAGTGAATGACTAGGATTTTGCTTTTCCTATGCATTTCTTCATTTACAGCAATATTTCTGCAGGTCAGATCTTTAATGATTTTGGTGCGCTGGGTGCTGCAGCAAATGTGGTAAATGATTGTCAGCTTAACTTCTTGACACCTGATGCTCCAATGCACCCTCGTGCAGCTTGCATTATTTTGAGAACCTGAGTTCCAAGACCGAACCAATCTACCGAAACAAACCTTCCCTGAACAAAGCAAGGGCCTGACTTGCAAGATAAAAAGCAATGAAGGTTGCATTTGCGAGATCGATAATTTGTGTCAAACCCTGTGCGTGATGGTACCCAGGCTCTTTCATGTGGCTGTAGGGAGCCAAAACAAAATGTGTTTTAGACTATAGATTGCTTCAAGGAACAACATGCTTGCATCTGACGCTTCCTTCTGCGAGCTGCTTCATTCTTCCACAGCCATAGCGATTCAGTGATTCTGTGATAACATGTTTGTCACTTTTTTGACAGGTGTTGTTGTGAAAAACGCTGTCTTTCACAGTATGGCCTCTGACACCTCAACCTTTGATACAAAATGATACAAACATGCTGGTGAGTTTGTTCCCAAGGAAGCCTGGTTGGAAACTATTTATGAGGCAGTTGCTGTTGTACCCACATGAGGTTGTAGGCATTTTAGGTGATTAATCTTGCCAGCACAGACTTTCTGACCCCAATTCGCTGACGTTTGCGTTTTTGATGTTCTTTAGTGGCCTTTTGTATCTGCAATTTCACTCAACTTTCAGTTGAAGCAGTGGCAGCTTGGACAATTGTTCTTCAAGATGCCATCAGTAACACTAGAACCAAACGACATGGTGCAAAAAAACAAATGTCTGTAATATGATGTTTTGACGTGTGTCGAGGCATTCTGTACTTCCAACACGAGTCAAAACTTTGTCTACAGACTTGGGCATTGGTTTAGGATTTTGAGCAATTCTTACAGATTTAGGCTGGTGCACTTAATCTTGGCGAAAAACAACAAAAATGTACTTTTTACGTATAAAATACGTACCGGGTACGGATCCCAGGCCCGACCGGTAGAAAGGCCGTATTTTACCCGTAAAAGGCCGTAGAAACGCGTACAAAAATACGTACTTTTCCCGTATTTGCTCTTATTTTTGTCAATGTGATTTTCCTGTAGTATCGTGTGATGTGTGATGATTTTGTGGGTTTTGTTTGATGAATTCCAGCCAATTTCTTTCCGATATCAATGTGGGGTTGGTTTGGGCTGTTGCACTTGGAGCTTTGACAAGAGGCACTGCAGGTTCACGTGCTGGTTTGATGTTTACCTGAGGACCAAGTGCTTGCTCCCGTGCTCTTGACTGTTTCCAAAGAAAAGTGAATGACAGGGAACATGATTTGCAAGGATTGCAAGGTAACCTTGGCTTTGTTTTCGCACACTCAAATCTCGAAAAGGATTGCGTGCATATCTGAATGCTCAGCCCGCCTGCCATGCCGATGTCGGATCATTGGCCTGTCTATACTGCTTCTACCTACAGCATACATATGTAAACTAGGTTTGGTTTCGATTCACCTTTTTGGTTCCTAGGACACCAAAAACGACAAGCAGCAACCTTCTTTGATGCATGCGGCCAAAGGCTTTCCAAAGGTGGTAGCGGCACTCAAATATCCTTGTGCTTTCCAACCCTTCTTGTTTGGTACAGCATTTCGTGCGGTTCCTTGCATGATTTCTTTTTGTCTTGCGTGCTTATGCTTCAATGCTGCTATGGCATGTTTTGGTGCCAACTACATTGTTTATAACCTTGAGTGGTTGTCGTTGTTGCTTCTCAGGCTTATACATATTCAATCAGCAGTGAAACATAGTGAACCGCACCCAATGTAACTTTTAAAAAGGACCAAAATTTCTTTGTTATGAGGGCTGCAGTCTTTGAGCAAGGTCTAGACTAGGTCCAACCAAGATGTCCGTGGATGCTGAGCGTTAGGCAAAGGTACATGGTTTGAGTGCCTGCGTGCTATCGTCAGCCAGTGTCTGTGTCCTGGGGGCTTCACTCTTGTACTCAATGCCTTCCTGGTTGTGTATGGTGACATTGGCATACATGATACCGTTGCATTGAACATGTTCTCAAATGCCGATTGGGTAAGAGCATGTTCTGCTTGGAAAACGAAAAGGCCGTATTTTGGACAAGGCCGTGCTTTGAACATAGTTTTTTGGCGCTGCCCCAAAAAGAGCCTTTTGTTCAAAAGAGGCATCAAACCGGTTCAGGGTATATATTCATACATACATACATACATACATACATACATATATATATATATATATATAAATTTATAGTATACATATATATATATATGGGTATGTCTCAAAATACCGAACCCAACCCGGGATGTTTGACTAGGGGGTATGATTCGTGGGTATGATTCGGGGTATGATTCGTGGGTATGATTCGAGGACCTTGATTTAGTGTTTCCCTGCATCCTCCACGTATGGTTATTTACCCACACTTACCCCGATTTTTTTTCAACTGTTGGAAATTAGACCATACATGGAGCGCTCTGGAGCTGGCATGCTGTTGACGCTTTGACACTGGCGTATATATATATATATATATTATATAATGTGTGTATGCGTATGTGGGTCTCTAAATTTAGTAATAATATGCAATAATATGTGAACAATACACAATATAGAACACATTAAAGTACATAGTATGCGACAAGGTTTTGGGGACCAAGGCCCAAGGGGCGCAGCCGTGCGTAGCCACTGCATGGAAGACCACTTCGCGATCGTCACCTCAGCCAGCATGGGTAATGTGGGAAACCCTAGCTGCCATAAACCTACTATTTGGGGATGGTTTATACCAGAAAAAAAAAAACAAGAAAAAATGTGATGTTGGGGGATGGTTCATTATTGGATTTACCACATTAATAGCATAATGATTGCAATAATGAAAATGATAGCAGCAACGTCAAGTGTACAATGCATGGTGATAATTCCATGTTTATAATGCAGTGGTGTAGGTAACAAAATAGGCAAGCATGGTAAACATCTATACCATTCTATGCCAACATGTTGGAGGGGTAAAATGCGCCAATTGTGGTGCTGTGTGTCTCTGCAGGGGCTAGGTCTAATCATTCTAAGCCCACTCGAAGGCCCAAACCAAAGTTTTGCCCCCCGCCTGTCACATTTAATATCATCAACATCCCACCCCACAACCCCTTGAATTCCTACGGTATGCCCTCTGGTAGTTTAAGGCTGTGGGAAATCAAAATTGTTCACAAATAAATCATCTAAAGCACCATGTTTCGTATGTAAATCATCAAAATGGGCCATTTCAACTTATAAATTCACCATGCCCAACTGGTTCTTTTCCGGTTTTTTTCCGAGCTGCGTATGTCTGGCATCTTCTGAGCCAAGTGCTCCAACATGAGCCAGTTGCAGCTCACGGCGGCTTTCTGCAAAGCCACTTCCTCTTGCACCTCAGGACCTCGGCTGGGCGTTTGACCCCGTGGCAACAAAGTGGGATCCGGTGATGTCCGGCTTTCACGTGATTTTCATTTGATGGAAACAAACAAACCTAGAAAAGTGAAAACATCGAACAATCTTGCAAATTGAATCAAGTCTATCACCTTGTAAACATGTTTGAACTACAGTAAATTTGTTGTTGTTTCCAACAAGTAGTGATCCCAATTCCTGAGTCACACATGGATCAACATCGATAATCCTGTAGCATCAAAGAAAACAAAGAAAACCTGCCGACATCTAAAAAAAAAAATACTTTACTTCGTGTGATCCCCACAATGACATTTATACATTTTCTTTCTGGCAAATCTTCTGGCATTCTATCTGACATATCTTCTGGCATTCTATCATATTCTATCTGGCATTCTATCTGGCATATCTTCTGGCATTCTATCTGGCATATCTTCTGGCATTCTATCTGACATATCTTCTGGCAAATCTTCTGGCATTCTATCTGACACATCTTCTGGCATTCTATCTGACATATCTTCTGGCATTCTATCTGGCATTCTATCTGGCATATCTTCTGTCATTCTATCTGACATCTTTTCTGACATTCTTCCCGTTGAGTCCGGCAGTGCCCACTGCGATCTGGAAGTCGCGGTTGGGGTCCGGCAGTGCCCACTGCGATCTGGAAGTCGCGGTTGAAGTCCGGCAGTGCCCACTGGGATCTGGAGCTCGCGGTTGAGGTCCGGCAGTGCCCACTGGGATTGGAGCTCGCGGTTGAGGTCCGGCAGTGCCCACTGCGACCTGGAAGTCGCGGTTGAGGCCCGGCAGTGCCCACTGCGATCTGCAACTCGCGGTTGAGGTCCGGCAGTGCCCACTGGGATCTGGAGCTCGCGGTGGAGGTCCGGCTGTGCCCACTGGGATCTGGACCGCGAGGAGGAGGACGAGGAGGAGATGGAGGAGGAGGCGGAGGAGGAGGAGAACAGCTCTGATAAAATCTAACAACCCTCACCTGGCAGGTGGGGAAAAACATGCAAAGCCAAATCTGCCAAGAAATAGCCTCTGGTTATTGAACATAGACCCTGAAAATAGCCAATGCTAAGTGGAAATTCATCTTCCCAATCCCCAACTCATGGAAGGATCCCTGTGGCCTGTGAATTTGGGGGGGTGTACAGTTATGGCCCGAAATACCAGTTAAAAGTACTAAGTCACCCCATTTATGGAATGTATAATCCAAAAGAAATAACCAGTCATAACTAATCAATGGCCATAACACGCCGGCTCAAGCCATTCCCAAATCTGAGCTCCCGCGGCTCAAATGCTGCAAGACATGACCCTTGCTGCACTGGATGGCGTCGATCCTTAATGGACCCACTAGTTCCCAAGTTGGGTCAAATGCTGGGGAAATATCATCTGAAATTCTAAGTTGTATCAGTAACATATGCTATTAACTGGCTATTAAAAATGGTATCTAGTATCTAATGTGATTGATTTTAGTGAAGAATCATGGGCTGAGTCAACATTCACATGGTATCTAAGGTTATAGGTTATAAGGAAAAAATCATGGGGTGAGTCATCAAAATCACGGGAACATCCTTTAACTATGAAAATAGACAATCAAAAAATGCAATCCCAGCACCAGAAAAATCCGTTAAGTCAGCAGCTGGATCAACCTCGCCTTCACCAACATGTTGAAACAAGCAACTATTGTCATGCAACAAACAACAGTCGAACAGCTATATCCCCACTCCTATGAGCCTATGGGTCTATGGGTCTCTGGGGTTCTGTGATATTTTAAACATTTTTAAACCTACCCTCAAAGTACCTCCAAAAATATGCCCAAAAGAACGAGTTTTGCTTGCTCAACTTCTTGGGGTGGTCAGTGGCTAATGAAAGTGTAGGTACTTACCCATATAACAATAGATCTTAAGTATTCTTAAGTTAGTTATAAACACAATATCTGTGCGTATATGATACGATATACAAAGCATATAGGAAAGGGAATCCCTTTCCTATATGCGTTGTATATCGTATCATATACGCACCGAACATACCCTCCGGTTACTTAACATAGCTATGGAGCCATGGCCCGGTTCGATGACAAACATGATGACTTAGCTGGTTAAAAATCAAATGGTGATTTTCCAGTTCGCAAACCTTGAAATTACCAGAGAGTATCAAAAACAATGGAGGTGTCCTAAAATGGGGGGGGGGGTACCCCTAAATCATCCATTTTCAATGATATTCATAGGATTTTCCATGACATAAACATCAATAAATAAATCTTCATAGGATTTTCATGTGTTTTTCCATGAAATAAACCCCTTCCATGTTTTGGGGACCCCCATGACTTTAGGAAACCCCACTGAAAAAATCATCCCAGCGCGCCGAGGCGCAGGAAGTCCTGTTGACTCACCAGGCTCTGTGAGGCAAACTCGATGGCACTGGGGTCTTGGCTTACCGCCGCCAGGACGATGGATGGATCCTGGCGATTCAGAACGAACGGCTGGGATCAAGAGAACTGGTGGCTTTTCCATATATAAAACTCTATATATATATATATATATAAGTACATTTTAGCTCATAATATATATATATATGTATATATATAATATATTATATGTAAGTATACACACTGACATGTATATCTATATATGATTATATTATATATAAATTATATATTTTTTTTTACTGGAGGGTACCAAGAAAATAGGTGTGTTCCTCCTAATGTGTTTATTCAAGGGAAAATTATCATAATACAGGATACCAGCGGAAATTGGGATTGAACGAGTAGAAATGGCGACTGGATCAGCCAACTTGGGTGATTTCATCAGCAAAATGAAGTTCCCCCTTGGGAGGCAACGCATGGGATCGCGCACATGCAATGTATCCAGCGCTCTCCGCCGAGCAACACCCTGCCAAGAGGTCAAATGCTGCAAGGCCTCGCAATTTTTCAGGATCTTCAGTGGACATTTATGACATTTTATAACCTCCTTCGACTAGCATATTTCGCACTTGCAACAATGAACCACCGTTTATCCGATGCAAGGCTCAGTGGTAAAGCCAGTTTCAAGTCAGCCAGCCATGTTCGATTGCGTTTCCTGGTGATTGTAACCTAGGTCCACCTGCATCTTTAACCCCCAAAATTACTCAGCCAAGTAAACATGCCATTCATAGATGGTATGAAAATGTATGAAATGTTTGGCCACCTAACATAGCTGATCGGTTTTGACCCTTCAAACACCTTCGCGAGTGAGCAAGGAATGGAATATCGACGCTGCATGTTTGTTCCGCGATCTTTAGTTGATAAACGGCTCAAAATAAAATAAGTTCAAATGGACGGTCAAGACATGTCGAGACCAAATGTTTGAAGAACAACACCTGTTCTTGGCTGCAATTACTCCAAACAATGCAGACAAAAAGATACAAAAAGTAAACATCGCTTGACGCTTCAGCATCCCACCAAAAATTCGACAAATCCCATGAAGTTCTTCGACCCAAGGCGTTGTCCCCAACTGCCATGCTTTGGAGCGCCCGTTGCCTGGCCATGCCGGGCAGCCACCGCAAATGCAAAGTCGCGGTCGTTCAGGATCTGTTCCGCCGCCCAGCAGATGGCATCGCGGTCCTCTTTTGGGATACTCCAGGCGAAGCTGCAGCGGTGAACTAACAGTTTGCGAACTGGAAAATGGTCATAGACATAGTTGGTTTACCCATAATATGGTGGTTTTCCATAGTTAAACGTTTCCCAGAGGGTAGTAACTTAGATTGATCCGGGATGCGTATTTAGCTGTTTTTAATACTGATTGATATTGATTTCTGTTCGCTAAGTTGATTAAACTAACGCAAAGTAACTGGTACAGGGATAGATATATCCACATAGCCAATGGTCATTGGAAACCAACAAGCACTATTGGGGTCAACCACCTTGTATGTAGATATCACCACAATTGCCTAGTTGTGGTTAGTATGTGGGTCATGTTTATTTGACATGACCCTTTCAAAACACCAGCTACCAGCCATGCACCCAGGAGAAGATTGGAAAATCAAATGGTGCTTGATGAATAGGGGTTCACATCATGGATTATGATCATCCCAAATTTCAACGAATGAAGATCCCACTAACTAAAACTCATTGAACAACTCTCAATGATTTCAGATCCAACAAAAAGTTTGGAATCCAAACATCCACATCCACGTCCCCCATGCGTTGGCTCCAAGGAACATGTTGCATGGCCGTCAGCACCACTTCGTGGTCGTTTCGCACCTCTAAAGGCGCGTTTGACAGGAAGGCGCTTTTCCGGCGGACCAGGGCCATCCTGATGCCGATGGCGAAGTTGGTGGACATAATGGTGCGCAAAAACCATGAAACATTGGGATTTAAGCATAATAAATGGTGTTTTAATCATGAAAAATGGGGACCGAATGGAAAAATCAATGATATACCTGATTTATGTTGGCTAATTTTGTTGAACTATAGGTGAACTATGTGGTGTTTATGGTAGATAGATCGAACTAATTCATGGGGGATATAAAGCAACAAACAGAACTGGGGGTGCATCCCATTAACATCATTAGGTGGTTAATAATCATATAAAAGCCAGTTGCATATATATATATGTATATATGTACATATATCATGTATACCTATATTTTATCGGTACTAAACAACTCACGTTGCCTCTGGGATGCCGAGTAGGGAGGATGGGGCTGAGGTTCTGGACCTGCCCCAGGAAATCATCCCAGGATTTGGGTTGCAACGGATGGGATAATGAGATAACACTACAACTGGTTGGTGGTTTCAACCCCTCTGAAAAATATGAGTTCGTCACTGGGAAGGATGATACCATATATTGTGGAAAATAAAAAATGTTTGAAACCACCAACCAGATACAGTTGGTAAAACAATCATGAACCCCCCATGATTGGGAATGGTAAACATACCACCTAAAAAAGGTTGATGACTGGGGGATGGTTTATGAAATTGCTTTGCCCACATTACATTCATGGCAAAGAGTGAAAATAACTAATCCAATCCATGTTCGGGCACCGTTCACCAATGGCTAGTTACAATGATCCCCAAAAATGATGCTCGTACGGTATATAAGAAACCATGATGAATTCGCGGGCTTTATCCCTTCATCTACCACTTACAAAGGGTACCAAAATAGGTTACATATACGAAAGGCCTTTTTGTGTTGGCAACTGGAATTTTGCCAGCGAAGAAATGATTAAACCTTAAATGTCGGATATTTCAACACTAAGTGGCTTACAGCACACAAGCAAATTGGGGTGTATCCCCTGAGAGAGCGCGCCTTTCAGGGGTTATACTTCAAGTTTTCACCCATCATCGGTTCTGCGCGGCTTTCACCCAGTCGTTCCATCTTTGCTCCATGACGCTGGTTGCGGTTGAAATCATTGCAACTTGTCTTGTCATGTGCAAAACATTCCCCAAACATCTATCTTTAGACACAAGGTCTTTGTGCTACAGTTTATTTTGATTGAATTGGGCCAGCACGGCCCATGCTGACAGGGTTGTTTGGCTGCTTTTCCAGGTGCTAATTCAAAACAGTAGACGTTTTGACCAATATCTCCAAAAACCAGTCCTGAACTTTATTCCATGTACTGCATCCTCGGATTGTCTGTCAATTTTGGGGCATATTGTCAAACACTCAAAACGCAATTTCACCTAGGACCTAGCAGGACTTATAGCTTTTGCGATGTGTAGGCGTTTTATTGTTTTTGAAGGCTTTTGAAGTCTTTATGAAGGTTTTTGTAGGCGGGAACTTTAAGAAAGTGCACCTCGCACACAACAAATTTACATAGTTTAAGAGATGGCGAGCCAATGAGTGTGGCAGTGACACTTCAAATCTGATTGACCAACTAAGATTGATAATAATGGTTAATAGTGTTTTCCATGGTTTATATAGTGGTCGATAGTGGTTAATGGTGACTAATGCTGATTATGGATTCGCTTATGATGGAGGGGTAGGTCGTGGTGAAAACAGGGAAATCATGAGAAAACAGCAAAATTAGGGCCCTTTGGACGGGAACTACTTTTCCTGATCGATTTTATCTCAAAAAAAAAGTCCACTACACTGTCATCCAAAAGGAAAGCGCTACGAACGAAGACTCGATGTATCAAAAAAGAAATGACTGATATTGCATAGGGCAGAATGGGGCAAAACATGGACATGACATTAAAACGCACCTTTGCTATCCTTTGTTCAACCCCTCGCTAAAATGAGCATTGATCTCAATGCTCAACAATTTCAAGGATTTTTTTTGATCCAAATAGCAGCCCAATCACAATTTTCAAGCAAAACTAGCAAAACGTACTTGAAAAGACTAGAGCATGTTTTTGAAACATGCAGTAATGTGGGTAACACCTCATCATAATCCATCCCCCAAAATCACCTATTTTTTTTGAAAGGTGGTTTGTTCACCATTTCCCAGTCATGGGTGGTGTATGTATGGCATTGTTATACCCACATTAACCAAGTTATATATATATATATATATGTGTGTATGTATAATATAGTTAGTATCATAATATGGTTTGGAAAAATCTGGTTTATATCATCGTATCCCTTTATTACCCAGTAGTTTGTTGATTATTTACCAATAAACACATTATATTAATACCAAAATTTGAAAAATATGCGTGCATACCAAATTAATCCGAATTATATCATAAATATAAGCAATCACATTGGTATATATAGTATATACCCTATGCCCTATGCTACGTTAAAACAACAAATGCACCACTGCACCACATCTCTGACTCGAAGGCGCCACTCCAAGGTGGCCGCGGAGTAGGTGATGCGAACGAAGGTGACCCGTGGCTCGCCCAGCTCTTCCAGGCCTTGGGTGGTAAAGCCACAGAAAATGACAGGGAAATCTATACTATTTATATTTATATCAGTATATGAACTATAATATAACTATAATATACCTATATAGATAGAATGGTATCTATTATAACTATAACCATAACTATGCAAATAATTATCTATATATATATATAACTATAACTATTATAAACATTAACGCTGCACATTCAGTCTGCTCATGATCAAATGATGATCAAATGATGATCAAATGATGATCAAATGATGATCAAATGATGATCAAATGATGATCAAATGTAAAGCCTATAGATGGTAGGTGCATCAAGTCCTACGCCGTATCAAGTAGACCGTGCAAAGTATCAATCCGCGGGTAGCCTGTAGACCCTTGGAACTTGGTCCAAGACACAACTGCACCAGAAGTCCCGCGACGTGGGACCACTCGATAAGGCGGTTGACAAATAGGCCAACTAGGATTGATATGATCTATGTGGGTATATGTGTAGCAATAGTATGCAATAGTTAGATAGGGTTGTAAACCAACAAACACACCTGGGGAGTGCCTTCCTATGAGGGGTATTTGATATTTTGGAATGGGATATTGCCATTTTCTGGCTAAATTCCTTACTTCCGTCCAGATTCCCTATGTTTCTCTGAGTTTAATTTCAAATCATGGTAAATCGTCAAAAAATCCACCAATTGCATCCTAATTGTCCAACACTTTCCGATTTGTAACAACTAGTTGTATCCGTATATAAATCCACAAATTGTAAAACTCCTACATATTTTCTGAGTAGTTCTGGTTCCCCTAAGCCCCACATATCAGGGATTGCTTCAAGCCACCACCAACGACTTGGCGTTCGCCAAGTGACGTTGGCAATCCTCCAGGGGGCTGCTCCCGGAGATGAGCCGCTGCTGACGACGTGGCACACGCAACACCTGTTTGATCGACTGGTCGATCTGGAGAAATCACATTTTTAGTGTGGTAAACCATGATAAACCCATGTAAACCCAATGCTGTAATGCTGGTTTTACCATCCCCAACATCACAAAATCACCATTCTTATGGGTGGTATAAACATGCAGAAACCATGTCCAAATGGTAGGTCTACTTTTGGGCTGCCCACAGCCCAGTGATTACGAACTCCAGATCCACCAGTGGGTGACAAAGCCTATCATGTCAATGGATGGGACCTTTCATGTGTAGTGACGGACACAATGGATCTGAATAAATTATGTCATGAATCATTATATAATCTGAAAAGTTTGGCCATTTGGGGGTGATTCCCCTGTCCGTTTTATGATGAATCAGTTGCCTATATTGGGTGTTGTACGGAGGGGACCCCTCCGCTATAGTCAAGGGGAAAAAGTTATCTATGGTCCTTGGAGTAGCGATGTTGGGAGCGCTTTGCCACTCAAAACTGGTGACCAACTAAAGATTTGCGATTTAAGATTATTTAGTGACCAAAGGTGACAAACATCTTAACATTTTGTTGTTTACCTCAAATGGATCAGGTTTTTCTGCAGTTCTTTCCTTGAAATTCTTGGAATATGGTAAGGATCAAAGCATTGCCTGACTTGGTAACTGCCTGACTTGATGTAACTCCCAACCCATAGTAGTAGCTGCTCCCCAAGACAAACCTCCCAACATGCATCACAAAGTTTACGTGGGTATGCGTGTGTGTGTGAAAAATCAGGAAACATGATAAACGTGCCGATTGAAAATCTTGAGGAAACAACATACACTCATCGATTAGTCATATGATTAAGAATTCCATCCCCCAATATTATGGAATTTCTAAATCCCCTACATCCTGAAGCGTGTTGATTGGCCAGGGGTCATGGGGGTACAAGATATATCACCTGATCTGGGGAAAACTATTTCCCAATTCACCTGAAAGTGCGGCCATGTTTGGGGACACTTACTCTATGACCAACCACAGTGAAAGCCCTTTACCAGTTATACATGGTCTTAAATGGGCTTATCATTCCATAAACGGAGTTATAACTTGAAACTTATAACTTATAACTGGTAGGTATACTGTTACAGTAGAGGGATGTAAAGGGCCGTAAGTGCATGAGCTACCGCCAGTTTCCAAAAAAATTGGGGTTGTTGTGGCACCTTGGCGAGAGCCACCTTGAGGTCAGCCACAGTGCTGTTGGATTCCAAGGTCACAGTACCTGTCGGGTCTCTTTTTGGCCACCGGGGTAAAACACCACCGGGGATTTTAAGCAACAAACATGGAACAATAACGTTGGGAAATTCATGGGGATATATCAGCAACAGCATGATATTTGGGATGGTCCTATGGAACTATACTAAAATCTCAAACGACTAGCTATTCTGTGGCTCGGAAGTGATTGAAGTCGCTGTCAAGATATTGGGATGCATTGATGGGATATACCAATGGTATACCATTGCATGATATACCGCACTTAGCATCCACTTAGCCAATTCAGCAACATGTAAGTAGGTCCCACGTGGAAAGCCCACTATTTGTAGTTCATTTAACCATTCACAACCAGAAGGCACCATCACCGTGAGTAACTAGTGACTAGTGAATACCCATGGTTGTACAGGTACAAGTACAATTGCCCAAGGGTGAATAATGCAAGCTGACCAACTGGGACGCCAAACCAGGAGCCTTCATGGGATTGGAACAAAGGAATGAACTTACCCTGCAGCCATGTCCTATGATAGTCATTCTCCTAACAGAAATTAACAAACAAAGCCTCCAACAGGCAAGACTACCGCAGGCCGATATTGAGCAAGTGCGACAAGGTACAAAGAGGTCCACTTAAGTTGTGAACTTCAATGGATGACATCTACCCAAACCTGGGCAAGCGCCACTGAAAGGGGCACTCTGGATTTCTTGAAATTGATGTGAAGTCAGCAGTCAAGGCGACACACATCATATTTATCGTCATCAGCCAAGGGAAGTCATACAAATGTGCATTTTCGTAATACAACTGAGTTGGATGTTGGATTTCAAAGAACATAGTGACAAGGGTACGATCCAACAGCATCAACATTGGCGAACGCAACAGTTTGAATTCATACTCATTCTTGCATGCTGCATCATTCTGAATCAATCTGAATATATAATATGTGTAAACTAGTGAGCATGCTGCATGGATTGGTTTGCAGCCACTATATGAATCTATATCAATGTCAGCTCCGGATTTATAAACCTCTGGGTTGTTTACCTAATTGGGGAGGGCACCATTTTTAATAGCAACACTTGGGGGTACCCCATAAGAAAGCAGGAATTCAACAGCCAAGAGACCTGCTGCAGCGGCAGCTGCAGCACTGCTGAATGCTACAATCCACCACCAGCTGTCGCGCCAGCGGTCAACTGCCACGCCATGACGGAAATCATGCTGCGGCGGGAACTCTGAAACAAATCCATCCTGAAATGGCTGCGGTCCAAGCAACTACCTGTCTTCATTCAGAATGTAATGGCCGTGGGTCATGAAATTGTCATGGGCGATTCACACGTGATGCACAACAATTCTAGCCTCACAAACAATCAATTGCCACTTCACGGACCTAAATTAGAGGATATTACAGGTACCTACCATATATATAAGGCATATAAGGTCTATATAAGGGCTGTGTAGGGAATATCCTCACAAAATATGGCCTTATATGGTACAGTACCTCCATTTTAGGATCCTGAAATTCCCATACAAACAATGACCGACTCTACCAACACCCAGCTTGCGCTGCGGTCAAGATTTAGGGCTCTTTCTTGATCTACCTGCGTTGTTTTCTTAGGAGATTTTTGGATAAAACCACCAATGACACACAAAAATGAAGAGAAGTGGAGGTTTCCTAAAATATTGGTACCCCAAACCGTTGGGTTTTCCCATGGCTTTTCCCATTCTCTCTAAACCATGTTGGATGATTTTGGGGTACCAGCCATCAGGAAAGCTGCCAGTAGTGCCGTGCGATCACTGCCAGCCACCAGGAGATGTGTTGCCTGCCCGGCACTGTATCAAGGCACCATTCATACGATTCATGGGCTGATTGTCGCAAAAACCTCACGAAATTTGGAGATGTCCCATGAATATCGAAAGGTACATCTTTGGTTTCTATTCGTTTTAGGACAAGGTGTCCAATTGCAGTAGTTCTTCCAACTATTCCGATTTAGGATTCAAATGGATGTCAGTTCGATTCTCCTCTGTACAGTTCCATGAGTCCAAATGAAATGCGGGAGCTTCAAGACTGCCTTTGGATCTGCCTAAGGTCTCCTGTGCCGCACCTGTGGAGAGAAGCAAACGTCTGTTGCCTCAGTCTGCAAGGCTTGGTAAAGCCTGGCAGAATGGGAAGTTTCTGAGGAAGGGGCCGATGCCTTGGGGGGGGCCCTATGCCACCAATAAGAAAATATATATTAATCCTATAGATTCCTAGATATAGGTGGTCAAATAGATTGACTGGCCCTACCCCCCATCGCTGCATCAATTGGTCTGTCATTACACTATTGTTGTCTTGGTTGACATGAGGAGATCAATGATGAACTAAACGAAAATCAAGCCGGCAAGCGCTGGGAAAGGGCATCTATATCCTTTGGTATTCACCGGACACCAAAGAAACTGGGGAACATGAATACCTACAGTTTCAGCTATCACACCTAAATGATCACACCTAAATGACATTAAACTTGGAACATGCTCTCCTACACTCCCCTCAAAGGGCATTAAAAAAAAGGTTTTCCTACGGATGTCAAGCCCTGCACTCTTCCAGAGAGGAGACTCTGAAAGAAAGCCTTCAATATCCCGGGATTTTGAGTTCATTCATGAAATCCTTGAGAGGAAGAAAACATAGAAAAACAATGTCCAAGAGCGATTTTTTTTTGAAAATAAAATCAAATCCTCAAGCAAAGTCTCCACAAAAATCCGCACCCCTGAGCGACCCGGGCTGCATAGCCCTCACAGGCTCGGATCGCCATCTCGGGGCCTCAACGAGACGCGGCCAACGCTCCCCGAAAAGGCTCCACCAAACCCACGGGCCCCTTTTACGCCGTGTTTTCAGGCGATCTCGACACATTTGCAGAGGAATCAAACAGATCTGCTTCTCTCAGAATGGCCAGATATGGCCAGTACCCTCTGGTAAACTAACGTAACTATGGAAAATCACAATTTTTAATGGGAAAATCCACTATAAATCACCATTTTCAATAGCTATGTTAAATTACCAGAGGGTATTTCAACGCTCCAATCTGATGAATCAAAGCAAGAACCACGAGCCAGAAGAATGGCTGCTGGGAGCCGCGGCATTTCAAAAGGACACCCAGCTTGATGATCACCCGCTGCAAAAAATTGCACCGAAACAACATCAACAGCATCCACATATATCCACATGCATCCACGTAAAATCTTGTGAGCGCCGCTGCATATCTCCAGAAAAATCTCCAGAATTTAAGCACCACCTCCGGACCAGGACTTTGCAACAACCACAAATTCCGAATCCATGCGACAGCGTCGCACAACCAAGGTGAGCAAATGCGACACAACAGCGACACAAAAGTGGACTGTGAGATTATGGTGTTAGCACCAAAAGTTTATAGCTGAAATATGCTTGCGCAAGGTTTTTGCACTTCGGCATCGAATTTGTCAAGGTGCTTTTGGCCTGCACCTTCCCCGTACCATTCCTTCAAAGCATCGACCTTCGCACGGTCACAAGGCAAGGTTTGACACATTTCTGCTGGTGATGGTTTGCGCAGCAAAAACACTCTGAATCCTTCACGCTGAACTCTTGCAGCTGCCCATCGACAGAATTTCCATCCACAAGCCCAACCAGTGATGGTTGCCCAAGCCATCCCAGCCAAACATACCAAGGCAAGCAGCGAAATAGCACTGGGATCCCAGTGCCCGGGCTACGGGCAGAATCAGCTTTCAAGTCTGGATCGCAACGCGTAGCTTGTCCAGAAAAACAATCTTTGGTTTCCCAAGCTGCGGACTCTCTGCCAAAAGCAAAGGAAAAACACCCAAGGTCAGCAACGGCAACTGGGAAATTGGAACTGTAGTCCTTGTAGAATTGTCAGTAGCACTTTCTATGTTTTGCCAAGGTGTTGAAATAGATCAGCATGGTCAGAACCTTCTGCTTGGGGAGGTTTTCCAATCGTGGCTCAGAAGGTAGTGAATTCTTAGGGTCGGGAAGCTCAAACCATCACGACCTTGGACTTTGTGAGCATGCTCTGTGCCGAGTTGGAAGCGAAATGTTTGCCCCATCCACCGAGAGCAGCAGCGAAGCATCTAGTCCTTTGAGGAATTGATCCGCTGCCAAGGCTGCCCCCCAGCTTTGCGGGAACTCTTTCGTCACCGGCCAATTTTCAGGATCTGAGGCCATTTTAAAGATGCTGCGGACTGATTGGTGATCCCTTGAACATCCTTGAACCCAAATGGTGAAAAAGCATTGCCAATACTTTGCCTGTTGGATTGTCAGTAATTATCATCATGAATCAGAATTTGCATTCTCAGTGTCGCATATTTTGGTGCTCTCCCAAATTACTGTACTTTTCCGGCCAAGGGTCGATATTTTCACGTCCTTTATCTGTACTAAAGCTGAAAGCATTTCCGATGCTTCCGAAGGTGAAGTAATGTGATAAGTTTCAAAACGTCAGTCTTAACGAAAGAGAATGTCACATAAAACGGCATGCAAATTCGATCACACAACAGCCGGATTTTGAGTCGACGAATCAATCAACAGATTTGGCAACCTTCTACTGTACAACTTTCGAAAGTTCAAAGACAGCAAAGCGCGGGCACTGGTTGGTGGTTGCAACATATCCCAAATAAATATGTTCGTCATCATTCGTCATCTCAAGCAATCCTCCCTTCTGTACGGTTGAACCCCCAAAAAATGCACAGAAAATTTGAAAACACATTCTTTTTGTGAAACCACTAGCCAGTTGGCCAGCAGCGAATGGCGCGGACGCTTCCCGAACTCCGCTCCAGTTCTAAGCGCCGAAGTCCACGGTCCAGTTCACAACGATTGCGTCCACCCAGGGAATGAAAATCTCAGTCGAGGGTCATGGGTCCGCCACGGGGATCCAACGGGCCGTCACATGATGGTGAAATAAGAAACATCAAGTGGATCAAGTGGATGTATATGGATGAAATTGGATATCATGATGAATAGACCCTCTTGTGATCAAATCAGAATGCATGAGATCTACTGATCTAGTGGATAAAGACGGAGGAATGGATCAAATATGATCAAATCACAAATCGCAAGATCAACTGATCCAGGGGTCAATGAGGATGAATAAACCTACCTAGGCTCACCATATTCAAGAGCATGGTTTGCACCCAAAGGTTTGGTAAGGTTTGGGACACTTACCAGTTGTTATGTGCGTGAGTCATGACCAAGATCTTTGAGGGTCTAGCTACTGGATAAATATGCAATGGTCTACACAACAAAACAGTGTCAGCTGATTGCCCATGACTGAATTATGATGGGGCTTAATTTTTATTCGTGGGTGCAGCTCATAGCGGAGTGTTGCAATTGAAACAGAGACAACCTACACATATCATATATTATATATATACCAATAGAATTAGTCAGGGGTAATCAGAGATAACCTATATATATATATACCTATATCATAAAACAAATAAAAGACTATAGAGAAATATAAAGATATAATTATATATATATAAATATACATATAATCCACATATAAGTCTATCATTTGCTAATGGGAAGCGCCTCTGAGCCCCGCTCCGGCTCGCACCGGCTCGCACAGTGGTGAGCCAGGCACCCAGGTAGATCCACGGCTCCATGGTACGCGCGATATAGCACACAGAGAGCGATAGATAGATAGATAGATAGATAGATAGATAGATAGATAGATAGATAGATAGACAGATAGATAAACAGATTGATTGATAGATAGATAGATAGAAAGGTAGATAGATAGATAGATAGATAGATAGATAGATAGGTAAATAAATAAAGAGATAGATAGATAGATCGATAGATAGATAGATTGAAAGAATTAGAAATAATTAGATAGAATTAGATAGAGTCAGATAGAGTCAGATAGATAGATAATAATATAATAATCATATATATATATAATATAATTAGAATTGAAAGGTATAATTGGATAGATCGTTAAATTCAATCAGATAGATAGATAGAATTAGATAGATAGATAGAAAGATAGATAGACAGATAGATTGATAGATAGAATGAATTAGATAGATAGATAAAATTAGATAGATAGTTAAATTAGATAGATAGTTATAACTGATAGATACATAGATAGATAGATAGATAGATAGGTAGGTAGATAGATAGATATAACTGATAGACAGACAGACAGACAGACAGTCAGATAGATAGATAGATAGATAGATTGATTAGATAGATAGCTTTGATAGATAGATAGATAGATAGATAGATAG